AGGTGCTGGCCACAGGGCAGGGAGGGGGCCGCTTCCCACCCCCCACCACACTCCTTTCCTGCCTGAGGTCCCCCCCGTCCTTCTCCCCACCCCCACTTACCTGCAGTTCCGGCATGGGGCAGCTACATGCTCCCAGCTGGGGGCTTCCAGCTGGAGGGGTGGGGCTGGGTGGGCCCCACTGTTGTTGGAGCCCACCAGGCTTTGCCTGGGTCCTACTGCCTTTGGTTCCTGTCATTTTTGACAGGAACCAAGGACAGAGAAATACTAATTTTTTTTACATTTTTTAGGGGCCCCATGGGCCAGATAGAATGGCCTCGCAGCCCGGATGCGGCTCGCAGACTGTATTTTGCCCACCCCTGCCATATACAGAACAGTCTCATGTGTTAAATATACACTTTTTCCAACCTCTCTCATAGATTATTATTGTAATAGACCACACTATGAAATTTACTCTTCTTAACATTTTTATGCATTTTAGTCTTTTTTTTTTTTTTTTTTAAAAATCCCCCAGGTAAAAGGGTTTTTTGCGGTTTTATTTAAAATTTTTTTTTTTTTTTTTTCTTTTTTTTTTTTTTTTTTTACAATCTCCACAGTATAAAGGATGTTTGCAGTGTTACTTCAGAATTTATTATTGATCTTGTGCTTGGGCATTTAAATGAACAATCTCTTTTAGGTTTTGTCAGTTGTAGAATAAAAATAGTTTGATAGACTGCATCCTTCTTCCACTAACTGTAGATGTACTCTATAAATTCCAGTAATATTTTTAAAAAGTTGGTTGTTTGTCCCATTTCAAGTCTCCACCATTTCCCCCCCTCTTTTTCCCCACCTTTAGGCCTACTCTACTGTGGGAACTCCAGATTATATTGCTCCAGAAGTATTTATGCAGACTGGGTACAATAAACTATGTGACTGGTGGTCTTTGGGAGTGATTATGTATGAAATGCTTATAGGTAAGTTGTTACCAGCCCCCAGAATCATTCCTAGTTTGAAGGCCAGAAGGGACCATGACTTTACCTTCTGCATGACACCGGATTTAAAATATAACCCTTTTGTTCTCATTTTGAGTCCAGTTGTTTCCATTCTGACAACAGCTTATCTTCCAGGAAGGCATTCAGTCTTTGATTTAAAGACATGAAGAGAAGGAAAATCCACAAGTTTTCTACAGTGCAATCCAAATTGCATTTTAATCATTGAAAGAAATAATCCAAATTCAAATATGAAATATTTTATTAACTAATATTTATTAGATGCCAAACTTTATTATTAATGCTGGTATTCACTGTTGTAATATCAGAAGTACTGTAGTTTTCAAGAAAACTTCTTTTGGGTGGTGATGCCTTGGAGACTACTTTGAGGGTGGGAGATCAGAGAACTAGTGGTGTCAGCAAGGGCTCAGGCCCTTTTCTTGGTGAAAGGAAAAGCTCATTCAGCTTTTTCCCCCCACGGATACAGGGTATCCACCTTTCTGCTCAGAAACACCACAGGAAACTTACCGGAAAGTTATGAACTGGAAAGAAACTTTGGTATTTCCTCCAGAGGTGCCTATTTCCGAGAAAGCTAAAGATTTAATTCTAAGGTTAGTAACAACAACTTTCTGGGAATTCCACACTGTTAATAATTGTCCTTCCATTATCTTCAGTTTCCAGTCTGGGTAGAACTTGATAGTGCAGCAGGAAAGTTGCTTGGCTCACTTTCTCTTTCTACTATAACTTAACTGGGTCCATTTTGTCAAGCCCCCATTCCTTGAGGGGAAAAGTTCAGCTCTCAGGGCCAAAATCTCCTCTCACTAATGTCAGTTCCTGATACAGGCAGTGGGAGCAAGTTAGTCCTTGAAAGATCCCTGAACAAACTCGTATGTATTGATACTGCTGTTCTGAGGCTCAGGGGACTTCTGTGTCAGGATTGCAGGGTTGGGCTTAAAAAAATCCTAGAGAGGAGGAATAAAGGGAGGATTATGAAGATGATAGAAAAAAACAGTGAGTGAATGTGTTTTACTGTTCAGTGTTGGGTCTGATAAGCAGGGATCCTTGTTATCCCTGATTAAAAAAAATAAATAAATTGCAAATTCTCTGATTTAAAAACCCCCCAACTCCCTAAATGAAATGCTACTATATATCTAATATCTTGGTATCAGTTGAACACATTTTCTTGATATATTTACAATTTTAAAGCAGTTTGGAAGTCTACCAGTGCCTCAATCACTATAATAAAATAAATTCTAAATACCTATACATTCTGGTATTTGATTTTGTGTGTTTTATCATGGAAAATTAGAGCTTTCCCTCCCCCCTTCGCTCACCAGGACATAGGTCCAGGCCCCTCACTCCCTTCCCACAGCTTTCCACCTCCCCCATCCTGCTAGTGCCCCTTGCCCCCTGCCAGAGGGGCCCCCAGCTGCCAAGGCTACAATGCTTGGTTCCTACTAGAGGTGTGCGAAGCTTCATTTGCAGATTCAATTTGGAGAAGATTCAGCCCGATTTGGAGGCCAAGTCACCGAATCCAAATCATATTGGGAGACCAAAAAAACCCTCCAAATAGATTCAGAGCCTCTGAATCAATTAGGAAAAAGATTCAGAGATTCAGAAAGCAGTCTGTCAGGAGAACAGAAACTGAGAAGAGGGAGGGGGAGCAGGGGGGAAAGACGCATCTATAGCTGGCCTGACTGATCTTTCCCTGAGTCCCCTTCTAATTACAGTGCTCTGGGGGAGGGATGTAAAAACAACACATAAGCTTCTGTCTGTAGCCTTGCTGTCCCTTTTGTGAGCTGTTTGTCTGAGTACTGGGAAGGCCCCCTGTTACAGGCTACCATCCCTGCTGTTTTCATCCTGCTGTGCTTTAGTGCGCACACGCATGTCATGAGTTTTGCTTTCAGAAACTTGAGGTGCAGTTTCCCAGAAACCCCTGCACCTATCCCCTTAAACTTTGCAGGCCTCATGCCCTCAGAAGGGGCTACCATCCCTGCTGTTTTCATCCATATCTGCCAAAAAACGACAGTTATAGGTATTTCAGTGATTTCCCCATTATAGTCTATGGCCCTATCTCTCTGAATCAGCACCGAATCTTCTGAGCAGTTTCAGCCGAATCGATTTGGGACAGTGATCCGAATCTCTGAATTGAATTGTTATCCTCCAAACCGGCCGAAACTGAATTGAATACTTCCCTGTTTGTGCAGGCCTAGCTTCTACCTGTGGTACTGCTGGCTGTCACTCTGGGCACAAGCCATTGTGTTGAACTTTTTCCTGCAGTGCTACCGAGGCTTCAGCTGCAGTTTGTTGCCCCATCCCTTGGCTGCTCCTGTGGGCTTCAGCACTACAGATCTTGCCCAGGCACTTGGTTGCAGTTGTAGGAAGAAACTGCAGTGTTGCTGGGAATAATTCTTATTTTTCTTTGTGGACTTTTTGTTTTTAATATACTCAGAGGTAGAAGGGTGTGAAATTTATATCCTAATTAACAAGGATCTGGGTTTTCTTTTTGCTGGAGCAAAAAGCACAGATTTTTTTCCTTTAAAAGAGCAAAGCATAGGAAATCGGGTTTCCCCTTGCAGGCTGGCAGAGTTTCAGCCTGCAAGGGGCTGTTTGGGCCTGGGGGGAACTGGAGGAGGGTGATCACAGGCATGGGGTGTCACGTCCATTAGTCACCCCAGTCCATTACTCTTTGCACTGCTAGCAGTGCTGCTGGCGTGGGGCTCCCTGTGGCAGTGACAATGAGTCTCATTGCCCTGCCTGCTGGGCCATGGAGGCAGCTCCTGCCCATGTCGGTCTGGCTAGGCTGCAGCCCTGTGTCCTGCTGTGGGCGCACAAATCTCGGGGGGGGCATGTACATCCCCCTGACACATCTATAGCATTACCTATGTTGAGGCACCCTGCCTTTTCCCACACCCCCTTTCCCATGCACTGGGGAGCTGGGGCTTAGGGGCAGGAGGCTGCATGTTGCAAGTGAGGGGCACCAGAAGGGCCAAGGGGCTGGATGTTGGGAGTGAGGCATACCAGGAGGGCTGTGGGGGTTGTGGTTTGGGAGTGAGGGGCAATGGAATAGCAGGGCTGTTCAGGGCCACAAAGCAATGGGAGGACAACCGCAGCTGGACCTGCATCCTGGTGAGCGAAGGGGACAGGGGGAACTCTGATTTTTCTCTGATAAAAACCAAACCCCCAAACATAGGTATTTAGAATTTACTTTATGATAATGTTTGAGGCACTGATAGCCTTCCAACTTGCTTTAAAAACACAGATTTTGGATTTTTATCACGGAATTTTGGATTTTTAAATGGAGAAGACCAGGATCCCTGCTAATTTAATAGGATATAAGGGCCATTCAGCTGCGAGTAAAACTTATGCCAGCTTGTGGAAGTATTAATTGAAGAGAGTTTATAATCTGATTGACTTGCCATGTTACTGAGATACCTGTTAGAACTTGCTTCAGGCTGGCAAGGAGGAAATCTTGTTATTGTGGATAGATATGATTCAGGAAGGAAAATATTTTCTGAATCAGGGTGATTGATCATTTATATAAGTTTAACAAAGGTGGAATATTGACAGAAGCGGTCCAAATCTTGAAGTGCTCCAAAGTGTACGATGCAAACTGGACTGGGGCTAGAGAGCAGGATTCCCTGTATAACTCTTGACCTCTGATTTCTAGAAGTTTCCGATGACTGCCAAGTACACAGGAGAGCACTTCCACTCCTCACTGTGTGAGGGTGGGAACAAACAAGCCCCTGGGGGAGGCTGGAAGACTGCTAGAGCGTATGGATATTTCAGGAAATGTTTTGAAGATGGCCCTCTTCTCAGGGGTCACTTTTTAAGTACTTGGGTCATTTTTGAAGCACTTCAGGTGTGCACATCTTTCTGCTTGCTGTTTGAAGTGCTTCAGAGGCACTTGAAGTACTTCAGTAAGCGTGTCTGCCTATGGCCGTGGTTACACGCTTTGCTTCTTATAGCTGAACAGCTCTGTATTTGAGCAGCTGCCAGACACTTCCTCCTATAACTTTTTGCTGGAAATAAAAAATAGCAGAGAAGTTGCTCTTTTTTAAAGTGAACAATTTCTGCTGAAAACAAGTTATCCAGTGCTTTTAGCATAGAAGAGTAGACAGTTGAGAGAAGTGGGGTTTAGTTAAAATTGACTTTCAGCTGTTAACGTAATGCATTAATAAGAAATGCTTCAGGCAGCAGAATGGCTCAGTGGCTTGATTCTTGTAGCAGATTGACACTAGGTTACCAGGTGTATTAAACTTCCATTAAGTCAATGCTGTTCAGCACCTAGCAGGCTCACACACTCTGGAGGTGTTATATCTCCATTGTGCATATATAACAGGGCAGATGCACTTTGTTCTTGAATATCCCACTGGGTTTGTTAACAGGTCCAGAAAGCTGAGTTGCAACACTTACTTGTCTGGTGGAATGTGTCTCTGTCTAGAGGGGAAGGGAAGAAAGCTTTGTAGGGGCTGATTTGAAAGAGGGAGCCCCTAACAGATGGGTACTTAAAAATCCAGAATCCTCTATGGTCTAGCACATTTGAAGAAACTTTAAATTATTGCAGTTGAAAGGTCATTGTTATAAAGCATTTTTCCAAGATCAGATCATGCAGTTCTTGTGGACTGGAAAAGGTTTGAATTTGGGGGCGGAGGGGTGTGGAGGAAGAGCAGCAACAGTTTTATCAAACAATAAAAATATTCCTATCATGACATTGTTTGTTTTATCCATAGAACTGTGATAATAATCAACTTCTGGCTTTGTTTTTGCTTTGTTTGTTTGCTTTTGCTGCATACAATTAGAAAACTTCATATTGAGTAATTCAGAAATGAAATAGTTTTTAAGTCTTCCTGAAATTCCTGATTACAAGATTGTAGTGTGGTTTGTTTTGCATTGCTTCTTTCTACCTTAGGTGTAACATTCTTCCCTCTCCCTTCCCTTCAGATTTTGCGCTGACTCAGAAAATAGAATTGGCAGCAATGGAGTAGAAGAAATAAAAAGTCACCCATTTTTTGAAGGAGTTGACTGGGGCCATATCAGGTATATATACATCCTGTGTATGTTAGATGGAATTACTTGGTATCATAATTTCAGATGCCAGGAATGCAGGGATATTTTTCTTTCTAATTCAGTTTTAATTTTGAAATGTAACTATTTAAAGAAAACCCAGCTAATGCAAACCTTGCTCTTGATGTAAAAACTGACTTTACTGAGCAGTTTTTAATGCACTGTTTCCCAACCCAGACCAGCCCAATGTAGCATAAGACAAGAAGCAGTTGTAGTGAGAAAAGCTACATGATTCCTGCTTTGCACTCGCCCACCCTCAGCAAATTTGCTCCACTCCATTATAAAGGGTTCTGCAGCTCTCCCTGTAGTTGTCTGCCATAAAACAGACTGTATAAGTATCTCTGCCTGCTTGTGGTCCAGCTCTAAAAATGAAACAGCAGTTGCCCCCCAGGCAATATGTACCCTTATGGTGAGTGAGGAACCTCAAAGGGGAAAATTAAAAGAAGCTCATAAAAACAGAAAAGACAAAATTATGTATAGAAAATACAGGGAAATGGAAAAGAAAAGGATAGAAGGCAACATCTATAAGGGAAAGACAACAATGATACCTTTTAAAACCAATATTGATTGTGTCCAGTACCATGTTCAGTAGGAGTTGCTGCTGCTGCTCTCCTTTAGATATCTGGGTGATCCTGCCCTTTTTAGAAATATTGTATCCACAATATTGAATTGTTGAAGCTTATATTTATACAATGGGCATGAGGTTTATCCAATACAAATCTGCAGTTCTTACTCTCTGATACAGAGAGGCTTGCCCTTTCAGCTTGGTGGGGACAAGTGAGCAATGAGAGCAGTAACACATTTATCGATGCTGGATTTAACAGAGCAGCAAGGGGACTGCTTCATCTAGTGTCATGGTTGGGTTCCTGGAAGAGTAGTAATTATAAAAGTGTGGGCAAAGGTATGAGAAACAGGAAGCTTTTATCCCTTTCTCTTTCCCACACTTGCAGTGCTTGAGTTTTAAATGTTTTTGATAATTTTAGAAGAAGCCACTTAGGAAGTTGGCTTGCTTCCCCCCCACCCCCCAATCTCCCCTTTTAAAAGGACTTGCTGATATCATGCTGCTTTGCTAATTTAACAGTCTGAATTAATCAGAATTTATAGAGCTACATGTTTAGTAGCCTGAGTATAGGAAGAACCTTGACTAGGCAGGTTGGTTGTGAAATTAATGCATGACAGTGGATCTTAGTAGAATGAGGATTGTGCAGTCAACTTCTGAAGGCCACCTTAGTTAACACTTGATCTGAGCCTTCAAGAGGTATTACATTTAAGTGCAGTTCTGGTGAACTTACAGGGACACTATCTCACCTTTCAAGATTTCAGAATGCAAAGTGAAACATACAGATGTTCAATTTAAAACTATGATGATTTCCACAACTCATATTTAAGTTACAATATTTTTATACCAGCAGAGGTTTTTCTCTGTGTAGCATTGATCAGGGACCATGTTATCATTCTAGTGTGTACAGAAAAATATTTAAATATTGAAGTTAAACATAGCTTTGTTCATGTTCTGCAATCTGATGCTTATTTTGTTTCATGTGTAGGGAAAGACCAGCTGCAATTCCTATAGAAATTAGAAGCATTGATGACACTTCCAACTTTGATGAATTTCCTGAATCTGATATTTTACAGCCAGGTGAGACAGACTTTGCAACACATGCCAAAATACTGGTCCTTTCATGGAAGTATGGTACAGGTCAGAAAACCTTTTGCTTTTAAATAAAAAAGAAACTGTTAAATAATAAGGAAACTTTTTGTTTAACTAGGAACTATCCTAAACTTACTCCTCTTCCCAAAGTGTTATGAAAAGGCAGTTTTTATTATTTAAGTTAACATGATGAAAAGCTCTGTGTGAGTGTGTGTTGCTTTGGTGAAAATTAATGAGCATAGAAAGTATAATAGGATTTCCCCATATGTGCCTGTTGGCAAACTCCTGGTAAAATACATTACACGAATTGGTTGTGGACATTTGCTTCTGGTTTAAATGTCACTGTTGTAAAATATGGTGCACTCTTGTGGACAGAACTTTCAAAAAGGCCTAAATGATCCTGAACAGAAGCAGTATGGGCTATAAGCTGGAGTAACTTAGTAGCATGGGTCTTTCTGAAAGTCACTTGCTTTTTAAATAAAACATTCCTGCAATGGTGTGTAGCAGGAAATTCTCCTCTGTAGAATACCTGATTCTACAAGAGGCCAACTTCCCTCAGTTTCCCCAAGACTATTTGTGTAAGCAGGGTTAGGCAAATCCCCTTCCTCCTGTAATTCTGAAATTTTTCCTAGTGTGTAGCAAAATAGTTTCTCCTTTTTAAGACTAAAATATTTTAAAACCTCAGTGCTTAATGTTGGGCACCTAAATCTTTACTTAGTCAACCTAAATAAACTACCTAGCAGTTTATTTAGGTTGACTTGGTTGCCAATCAAGATTTTTTTTTTTTTTACTGACACTTCTACTGACGTATATTTTATATAATGTAAATACAGCAGAAGCTTTGTTATCCAGCACCCATGGGGAATGGGGGGTGCCGGATAACAAAATATGCCAGTTAATTGAGAGGCCTGAAGAGGCGTCTTTGCTTTTCAGGCTGCCACTTCTCCCTCCACATCACCGACCCTCCCACAGGCCCTGAAGGACAGGGAGGTGGTTCCCACACAGCCTGCTATGCCCTGGGCCGGGGGGCTTGGCAGCGCAGGCTGCTTTTTTTCCTGGGCCGTGAGGGCTCGGCAAAACTGGAAGTGCCACGGTGGGCATTGCCACTTTTGCTTTTACCTTGCAAGTGAGCATGCTGGTTAATAGAGCGTGCCGGCTTGTAAGGTGCCATATTACACGGCTTTTACTGTATAACCTGTCTGTCAGCCCCTGGACAACAATAATAAGGGCTTGGTTCAAATTTAGGGGTTTAACACCTACTTTTTAAATCTTGCTCAAGCCCCCACACAGAAAAAATCTTACTTGACTGCAGCAATGGTTTTACACTGTGCTACTCCCAATCCAGAATTCCCCTACTCGCTCCCACGTCTTGATACCCCAGCCATATTCTGCATTATGCTGCCCACCCCACCATCCCCATGCCCTCTCCCTGTCGTGCCTGGTGCCTCAGATTGCCTGGGACTGTGTGGCTTGCCAACCTACAAGGCAAGCAGCCATTACAGGCAGATGATGGTTGGGTTGCAGCGGCAGCCCATGGCTGGGCTCGTAGGAAGGGAGGGAGCTATGGAGGCTGTGTTCCTGCTCATACATAAAGTGGTGCTTTTTTTGTTTGTTGTGCATCACATCATTTCTATCAACACTTTCATCCAGCCTCAATCAAGCCCAGAGATTTTTTTTTTTTTTTCTGGCGGCTGTTTGTTTGGTTGGTTGATTTTTAAACAGATGGACATTTCATCCTTAGTTGTTGTTTTTTTTTTTGTTTTTTTTTTTACAGGCTGTCCATAAATTTAGAGACTGCTGGCTACCCCCTATGTAGCTTTCTATTAAAAAAAAAATTGAAACTGTCAACTCTCATTAACCTTACTTTGCATTTCTTTTGTACTTTGGTAGCACCTGACGTCCCAATCTAGAATCAGTATTCTATTGTGCTGTCTGCTATATCCACACACACAAAGACCTGTTGCTGTCTCAAAATGTCTGATGAAACTGTGCCTTTGTTAAAGTCAGTGATAAGACTCCAGCTTAATTTACTAGATCAGAATTTTGCCCACAGTTGTATGGTGCTAGGGAAAAATAAAATGCAGGATTTGATGTAAAAAAATCTTGCAAGTAATATCAGTATTTTTAGATGCATGATTTTTTTTTCTTGTTCTCTCTGTTCCAGTGCCAAACACCACAGAATCTGACTACAAAGCCAAAGACTGGGTGTTCCTCAATTATACATACAAGAGGTTTGAAGGGCTGACACAGCGTGGCTCTATCCCTTCCTACATGAAAGCTGGGAAGTTGTGAAATAAAACAAACCAACCCACAAAAACTCAGGTAGCTGCATCACCAGACCTGCTTGGCATAGATATCAATACACTGACTCTGGTGCGCATTGACTTCACAAAGAAATTCTACAGGATTAGGATTTCTAAAACTACTACAGGAATTAGTTGGCAGTGCCAGCTGGCTTTTTTTTAATATTTGAATATTTTTGTTAACTTTATTATACAAAGGTACTGGAATAAAAGGAACATACTTCCCTTTGTAACTGCACTGCCTATGTGTATGTATAAAGGTTAACTAGGCCTCTGTGTACTGTGGCTTTGTTTGCACTGTAAGCCATCTAATCCATCCAGGACAGAAGGTATCATTTTATGCAGCAGCATCGTTTTACTGCTAATCCGGTGGATTTTAGACATACAGTATAAGAAACATCAACTGTATTTGTAAAATCCTTCTGAGTGGTTGTTCACGTTTTCTTATGCGCATGCAATGTGGGATTCTTTTAAATTGCAGTGTCCATTGGGACCAAGTCTGCCTTCTCTCACCATTCCCATGACACCAAAACAGAACCCGAAGGGCACATCTCCTTGAGTATGCACATGTGGTTTGCAGCACTGCAAACTGCGCATGCCACCTGTTTTTTGACACTGGGAGATCCTGATGTCAAACCACAGCAGAAAAAAACAGAGTAGCATACATGACTGCAGTGTGCAGTGCCCAAAACTGGAGCCTAGCTGGCCAGAGCTGTGCTCAGGCTGCTGGGCAGGCTCCGTGTGCCTGGATTGCCGCTGCAGGCCTGGGACGGCCCCAGGATCCCAGATAAGATTGCTAGGGCTAGCCCAGGTGCTGGCTCCAGCCTCCCCTATCCCACCTGAGGCAATGTGCTGCACACCAGAGCGCACATGCAGGGGTGTGCTCAGGGACAACTAGCAGCAGCACAAATATATGCTGCTTCTATTTGTCCCCAGGGAAATGCATGTTTCCACTCATGGCAATGCACCCCAATTGTCTCTGTCTCAACAATTTCCAACTGTAGTTGCTAGTGTATTTATTTAGGATTATGTAGCTTTTATGTCTGTTTGCAAGTAAAACAGTGGGGTTCCAGAGAGAGAAGTTGAGGCAAATTGTTCCTAGCCCCAGAGCTTGTATGTGATGCTGGAATCCAAGTCTTTTTACTTCAGCTTTTTCTCTTGTTATTAGTAATGGAGTTCTCAAATAGACTCATTTGCCTCTGCAAAGCACACATTTCAGATAAGTGCTCAATATATATTGCACTTAAAGGCACAAAATCCACAGACATCCCACTTTAAATATTTACTTTAAATATATACTCCATTATGATCTCTGAACTTTAGCAGTTGTCTTTCCTCATCAGATAATTCTTTTGCAAATGCTCTAGTAAGCTCTTTGTCTTCCCTGAGTGTCAGGCCTCACCATTTAGAGAGCTTCTGGAGGGGCTGGATGTGTTCAAATCAGCGGGTCCAGATGTTCTCCACCCCAGGGTGTTGAGGGAGCTAGCAGGGGTTATTGCAGGGCCCTTGGCATGGCTTTACGAGTGCTTGTGGTGCTTGGGCCAGGTGCCAGATGATTGGAAGATAGCCAACATGGTCCCCATCTTTAAAAAAGGGAGGAGGGAGGA